TATTCCAAATACCGAATTTATTGTTATTTCAATTTGAACGTAATTTATTGTCTTGATTTAGCCTCAATTTATATTTTGAATAAACTCTCGAAAGTATATCAAGGACCAATAATATTTATTAATACTGGTAAATCTTTATTCAATGTTTCGAATTTTCAATAATTCTGGGCAACTAATTTTTTTCTTCTTCTCTTTTCCTTCTTCTATTTATGCCTTTTTGGCTTTATGCCCTCATAGAGGGCCAAGTACCCTCAAGGATGAAACATTCTTCAAAAATCAAGGTTCTACACGGATGTCAAATTAGCACTACACTTTCTTAAAAATGTTTTAAGTGTAGGCTTTTTCAATAGTTCTTAAGAAGTTCTATAGTTTCCGGTTTCGTTCTAATGGTTGCAGCGAACTTCTGCTTGTCAAGCTACGCGTTCGTGTTCACGTTTAGCTGGGCTACGACGAGATTCGCATTATCGACGGAGGCGATGATCACATAATGCTACTTCCAGACTCGCCACTACGTGTCAGCGCCATGCTTTTGGTATCGCCTAAAACCGTAGCGTTGTGCATCTCCCTACTCATCTCTAATGAATATAGGCTCATTGGCAATCTCTCTACTCATCTCAGGATTCATCCTTCATTAAATAATATTTCTGGGATTTGCTTAAGGAATTTTAAAATAAAATATATTTAGGTAAAAAGTTTGATCAATTTTCAATATTCAGACTATCAAGTTAAACCTTGACAACTCTATTAACATTGAACCTTCTTATTTCATATAATAAACACCGTACAAATATTTATTTCATCGGTATTGCCTTTAGTTTCTTCTTCTTCGTCCAGAGATGTTTCCCTCATTTTTGTAAAAAGTTAAAAAAAATAAATAACCACATTCTTCCGAATGAAATTACGATATGTATCAAATGAAAGAATCAACATTAGAACGTAGATTATTATCCGCAATATCCACGGGAAAAAGTAATCAAAGAGTCAATTAAATTTCGTACAGTATCCGCCAAACATTTAAAACATTCAAGAACAATAGAATCCAATAAAATTGCAGACGACGCTTAGCGCAGGAAAAAAGTAACCGATTAAAAAATAGTTTCATAATTGTCCCGCGTAACGTAGCATCCTAAGGGACAAGCTGTGCAAATGCCATTTGTGAAGTTTATCGACGAGAACAAAATCAAGTTAAAAATAATTATTCGCGTACAATCAAACCTCCCAAAATGGCCACAACCTTTTGATTCATAAAATTCTACTCCATATATTCTGAGATGAAAATCTCGTTATCCCTTCTTAAATTTAAGCAATAAAATTGCAATAGTCTGGAACACAATGATCCAAATAAACGTGGCAATGAATCCGTTATATACAGCTGGTTCCGTTATAGACCATCCTCTGGCAAGCATTGCCCTGATGGATTCTGTGCTTTTTGTCAGTGGTAAAACAAAGCTAATATATCGTACAACAGGATGCATTCCTTCAACTGGCCAAATAATTCCACAGAGCATAACAATTGGTAAGAAGGAACCCATTGCCATGTATGTAGCACTCCTTTCGTTCTCGCAGGAACAGGCCACGACGAATCCTGAACAAAACAATTTCTTTCCTTAAATTCAACTAAACCTCTTATGACTACTCGATAAGAAACTGTATTTGCTTACCAAAACACATGCCACACAATCCTGTTAGAATTGTTAATGTTGTAACCCATCCTATGTCACCTTCGCAAGTTATTTTGAATACAGCAAATGCAAATATCAGGACCATTACGGTTTGACCAATCATTACTACAAACTGTGTAACGACTTGACCGAACAAGATTTCAGTTCCAGTTATGCCTGAAATTCATTGGTGGAAAAGATGGATTAAAATTTGTTTTTTTCTTTTTCTGTATTTAGATTGCTGCTATAATTTGCGTGTATCATCATTACTCACCTGATACCAAACTTCTCTCTAAGAGACCTTCGTTTCTTTCAAGCAACATAGCACCGGACGTCAATGCCACAGAGAGGAAGAAAATAATTCTGTAACAATTGGCATGCAACAATAAATCCATAGCACTTGATACTCAACTATACATAATCAATTCTATTTATCAAAAAATTCGCCACAGGCAAATGATTGCTTACGTAAGGATAATTCCCGGAGCAGCAAAGTCCGTGAAATTAGGTTGTTCCGTTCCATAAATCGGTGTTTTGAACTACAAGAAAGAAAACACATTACTCAGTAAAACAAGACAATTGGAAGATCATTAGGTACTTCATTGAAGATAGTTACATCAAGTGGAAGGCTTGCTAATTTTGAACTATAGTTACAGGCCACAATAACCTCCCGTGCAAAATCCTGGTAAGAGTACAATAAATCACGTTGAAGCAATTGGCCAATTTGTTGATCTGTAACAAGAAATTAACGAGACGTAAAGGAATACCAAGAGAGACAAAAAGAAGATGGACAGTATATAAAAGACTCACTGGACATATCCATAGAAACATTCATATCAGAGTACAGTAAACTATAATCGTCGACGTCTTTGCCCAGTTCAATTCTCTCCATGAGAGAATCTGAATAATTTGCTGGAAAATTAATGGCGCCCCAAGCCCAGCCTCTCGTTACAGCATATTTCGCTTCTTCCGCCGTGTCGTAAGGCAAAAACACCACAGTCCTTTTTTCAAGATGTTTCAAAAAACGACAACTTAATCTCGAAGTGTCACAACCGACGGTAGGCACGCAGTGTTCCATGCTGTTATTTAATTCATTATTAACAATCGCCAATTTCAATCCAACAGGATCTTTGCCAATAGACAAGCAGAAGAGTATGATCTGCACTACTGGTAAACCGATAATGAACGCCATTATGCTGGAAAAAGTCCAAACGATAAGCAAGATCCTCCGATTGTTATGAAGGTAAATAAAAAACTGAATTTTTAATTGAAAAAAAAATCAGTCAAGCATACCCAACGTTTCTCCACATCCACAAGAAATTTTTCCATATCAACGCTTTCATATGTTGCGGATCCATCATTTTGAATGTCGAATTGCCGCCTTTCTCTTCGGGTGGCAACTCAGGCACCTGTTTATTTATACAAATTGATTAATATTCCGAGATCAAAAGTATTTCTTAAACCTATTCTATGCAATGAATAATTACATGCTCGTCGTCCGTAACAGCTACGCTTCTTCTACGGCTAGAGATGCTAACGTTGTCACCAAATTCTCCACTCATCTCGTCGTCGATGTCCTAAATAAAAGACAGAATTGACATTCTAATTCAATGTTTGAGCTCAAAGAAATAATAAGACAATGAGATAAGATTATTCTCTTACAACTTCCGGTGGTACTCCAGTGACACTACTGAGGATACTACTTCTCCGTCTAAGTCCCATATTCTGTCGTTTACTCAGTTTCAAGAAAACTTCCTCCAACGTGTCCAACCCATGAAGTGCCATCAATTTCGTAGGCGATTCCTCAGCAAGGAATTTACCACTCCTCATGAGTCCAATGATACCAGCCTGTCTGGTTTCTTCAATATAATGCGTAGTGATAATGATGGTTTTATTTCCATCTTTGGTTATGTTTACCAAATGATCCCAGATGCTCTGACGAAGAACAGGATCAACCCCCACGGTGGGTTCGTCGAGAATCAATAATTCAGGATCTGCCAATAAAGCTGAAGCAAATGAAACTCTTCTCTGCTGACCACCCGAAAGATTTTTGACAAATCGATTCTCAGACGGCAATTGCAATAACTGTAATATTTTTAATAGTCAATACAGTCATACTAACAAGTATTAACGAATACCAAAAATTGAATAAAAATGAAAATTACCTTCAACAAAAATTCCAATCTTTCATCAATCTCGCTCGTAGTCATACCAGCGCACCACCCAAAGAAAAGAAACGTTTCTCGTATAGAGAATTCTCCGTATAAGGCAATTTCTTGCGGCATGTAACCCACTCGTGGTCCAGGTACACCAGATCCCTTCGATCCAGGCCGACCCCCCAAAACCCAAATTTCACCCGAATTTAAGCGTCTTCGTCCCACAATGCAAGAGAGCAACGTCGTCTTTCCGCAACCGCTAGCACCCAGCAGCCCGTAACTGTGCAAAGAATTAATCATTATTATAATCAAATGGAGTGAAAGGTAATAAATCCTCATTCCCTATAAATCTACCAAATTTATAAATAGCATAAAAGGAAACATTATAAAAAAATTTCATAACAGAAATAGGTAAAAAATTTCGAAATAGCAAATGCACATTATTCTCTAAGATAATCAAAATTTCTCAAGTTTCGAATGTACGAATTTTGTGTCGTGCGCACAAAAAAAATATTCAGCTGTTGTTTATATAAATAGTGAAGAATCAGAAAGTTGGAATCTTAATGACGTGTTTATTCGGACACTTCGAAAAGATTTATATCTTCGCGTACATCGAAAATTAACGAATTCATTAATGTTAATGCTCGAGGAACTTTGAATTTAAGTTCCTTCGTACGTCATAAATGTGAAGGTTCGTGGGTAAAAGTTTAATCGGTAAAGAAGAATTATTTTCGTTCGCATGAAGGATATAAGTAATCCTGAAAATAATAATGTTATATAAAAAAATGCCAATCTAGCTTCATGCAACATTTTCTAGTATAGCATGTGTAACATGTCGACTTCCGGTTTTGCAGTGATATCTTTCTTACAAGAATATAGGCAAGGCTGAATAACATTCTACCAGTTAGGTATTACGTCAAGAAGTGGGAATCGTCAATACGAAAGTAACTATTGATACGTCACTCACATTGTACCCTTTGGTACAGTCATATTAAGTCCATCAAGAATAATGTTTGGATTGCTCTTGGGACCATATTTTTTGAAAGCCCTCCGGACGCAAACTGCTTGTCTCCGTCTTGTAGCAACAGTCGAGGTTTGAGGTTGAAATTGAGCTCTTCTTGTTTTTAGTTCCAATGACGCAACCGATGCTGGTGTGGTCCCACTGGCAGCCTCCATTTTGTCTATGCACTTGATGTAAATATAGAAAAAAAAATGACAATAAAATATACCTTAATTTATATTTTCGTAATCATACGTGAAAATTTATCGATAGAGTCAAAAAGAAGATTTATTTATATCACGAATTAATTCAATTTATACACGTATTACAGGATTTATAATTCTTTAGTAATATTGTGACCATTTTTTTTACTATAGTTTTCCCTTTTTGCGCACGTATACCAAACTTTTGAAATATCATTAAACGTGATGCTGTGATTGAAGACAGTACAACGCACTGAATGTCGCAACGGGCTACTGTTATGTCTTCGTGTTATGTCTGTGACTTCGTCGGGGAAAAGTATGCGAAGTAATTCAGGTTTCACCAGTCGCGTGTACCGGCAGCCGATAACTGCAGATTCACGCTGCGTCTCGGAAAATTGAATTCGAAAGTAGAATTTCTCCGAAATAGTACAAGATTAGGCTGATAATGTAAATTATTTAACCTGAATGTATATTAGCGTTGTGAATAACCACCAAATAAACTGAATTATCAAAACTGTACGTAAATCTCGAATATTGTATAAGTGCAAATTGTCATTTTGGAAATATTATTAAATTTAGTAGCAATTCTAAAGTACCTAGAGAGTCAAGACATTTGGCTCAGCATAAAGCGAATGGTCATTCCCTGTAGCCACTTTGTAATTCATAAATGACGTAACGGCTTAGCGGACTCTCACCTAGTCCAGCTGGATCGACCAATCTTATTAAATAGCACACAGTGTGTGTGTGTGGAGTCATTTGTAGGATAGACGTGGTTACATCTAGCAATATATATTTTAGCCGTTAAAATCATAAATATGTCCGTGTACATACGAAAACCGACGTACTCATTAGCGCGACAAAATATTGGGCAAATTTCGAAGAAAATTGTCGAACAACCTTCCCATTCTGTAGTTCAGAGAATGACGCCACTTTTGTCACTAGATGAATTTACCAGACACTTTCATAGATACTTTGCGATTCAGACGTGGCCAATGTCGCGTATCCTTATACTAAAATTATTCATAGAAATTTCATAATTTCAAACATACGGAGGAATGTTTCGAAGGAATCGAGGAAAGATATTGAAGGTCATCGTTTTGAAAAGTCTACATTACATAACCAATTATTCAGTTTCACTCAGTGATAATGACCTACGAAAATTTCAAAGCTTCGCATGTCTTAGCTAACGATAATTTTGAAATTTCAAATTTTAACATACTGCAATCTGGTCGATAGCGCAAAGGGCTCTTGAGACATGAAACTTTCCAAACGATGTATAATTGTGAAGTGTTTGTCTAGATTTCAAATTTTTAAAAATAACAGTAGTATTTTTTATCCTCGTTTTTTATATATCCCGTAATTAGTCTGTTTTCGTACGAGACTGAAAGTCACGTCTCTTTGACGTTAACTGATTTTAAACAATTTACATATGGATATACCATCATTAAACGGTATAATTCTTTAAAACAAATCAACGGTGATTAAATTTTCTACATTACATATACGAATTTCTTTGGAAACTCGTAACCTGTTTCTTACGTGAATTTAACGTCGGTCACATTAAAGTAAGTTGGCAAAGTCCTCAACAATATATATATATATATATGTATATACACACAGACAGAATAAAGTCAAATATGAAAAACGTGTTGCAATCGAATTCCGACGAATTGGTTAATTGGAATAAGATCGTATGTAAATTTCAGCGAATTTTCATCGATTTCGAAATCGATAACAAAGTACACGAATAATAATTCGATACAGGTTCTATAATCGTGTTTAAGTTGTATAGAGAAAAATAACAGCGTACCTAACAATAATTTCTTCCTAATTACCGGATAAATGATCAACCAAAAAGCTGCCGTATCGAATGCAGCAAAATCGCGAACCGAGTCGCATCAACAAAACACTGACCACGTGAAAGGGAACATTGAAAAAGATCATCGAAGATCGATTACGCAGCCTTCCTCAAAACCCATAATCGATTAGAGTGAATGGATTCCGAAAAAAATTATATTCGTTTTTAATAAAGAATCTCCGCTTTTTTATTGAAAACATAGTAAGTCCACCATGAACGCGATTATCGAACGTTTTTTTACAGTAACCAGTAGACAACTGGGATCATCCTAAAGATCAGCTGATATAGTTTACGACACGTACGTAAAAATTAGAAAAGAGGTAAATCCCCGGGATACTAAGCATATGACAGCTACATATAAATAGGTAAAAAGTACAATGACATCAGACGTCTGACGCATTGAATGTAAATTAAAAGAAAACTCGACAAATCCCAGAGTTCTATACCCCTGATTAGGAATTGTATAAAAAAGTTCCAGAAACACTTGATTAATTGATCACACAATTAAATTACACGCTTATCCTTAAATGAGTTTCAATCATTCGATATGGAACTAATGTTCGAACCACCCTTGTGCAGGTGTCTTACGCGTGAATCAATCGATAGGAAATCAATGAACAAAAGAGTTACGATGGACTAAGGATACTTTGATCGAGTCAATTGATTATTATTTTTCTTAACAAACCTTCAATCGGTTCTATGAAATCACACGCTGTCCAGTTATCAATTGGATGCACTTTTTTGTATTTCGTCACGATACATAAAGATCCTTTTGAATCATCGACAGATCCTTTAATGCAAAACGCGATTACGCTGTCATCGAAGAAGCTCGCGAAATCAAAAGGGACTGGTACCCGGACACGCAACGAGAGTGGCTCGTTTCCGAACCCACCGGCAACTGACTTGCTAGCCACGACGGAGAATCAAAGGCTTGTGCAACATCGATGCCGCGTACCAAAGTGGGAATGTCCAGACGTTACATCGAGTGGGGATAAATTTCATGAAAAAGAACGAAGCGAAGCCAACGGAAATTCTTAGTCGTTAAACAAGGGTGGAAAGTCCCGAATGAGCTCAGGTTATGTTAGAACCGATATTGAATTATCATGACGAAGTCAGGTTATGAAAAAAAAAAAGATAATAATCTTATACACTTTTAGTACCAAATTTTGTTCCCTAAATTGTAACGAGTGAATCAAGGATTCGTTTGATCGAATCAGCTTGAAAGTGTCGATTAGAGAAGATGAAAAAATAATGCGGATATACACATATATGTATATATATCTGTTTTCTAGAAAGTCATAAAAATTCATATTAAACCTGTATAACAAGTGTAAAAAACCCGGTTAAAATACAAGCTATGACAAATATAACGAGTTTAAACGTAGTTTATTTGAATTTTCCAACATTTTCCCAGACAACAGCCTTTCGCCCGAGAATCTGCACATTCTCGTAACGTCTACTACTTAGAGTGAAAGTCGCCTTGAACTTTGTCAAAAGATTACGGAAGTCTCAATTTTTCGTAAAAGTCACAAAAACGAAGTAAGATTGTCGCGTATTGCACAAGAAAAAAACTTAATTGTCACTATCACGTTATCGATACCCACCGAATGTGCTTCCAATAGAAAATGACAGTCTGGTTCCTCGTTAAAAAATCATCGATATCAGGTTCCTCGGATTTCTTCGAAGAGTTATCCATTCCAGTGGAAAAATTCAAACGATAGAAAAGTCCGTCTGGACAAAGTAAACGTATGTAAAATTTTATCAAAATTTTTCTTTCTCCAAAGCAGCCAAACATCAGAGTCTCGCGGGTCCGAAGCAACGAAGACAGTCTGATACAAAACTTTTTTACACGTGGATGAGTAAATTTTGCTCGCGTTGTGAAAACAAGACGTGAAATCGAAGTTTCGAAAGAAAAGGAACATACAACATTCTCTCTACGTAGATACAAGACAAAGCTTGCGCTTCTCGATGCGTGGCAGTTGCTAAATGCATATCCTCTTGCAGCAATTTCACCGTCAATGACACGACCGACTACATAAGGAAGTTAAAATTTAGAATCAGATATAAAAAGCCGAGTTGATATATGAAAATAGCGGTAGCGATTGTCGTAAACAAAAAACCAAATTAGGATTTTTCTCAAATCGTCGTAATAAATGAGTCATCGCATTTCTGACGTTACATGCAAACCGGTATAGGTCATAAATCTTATTTCTCCTGCAGCTTTAAACTGTCTTCTACACTAGATACAACAGGTGCGTAATAACTTGCCATGTAATTTCTTTGTATTACCGTTAAAAAGAACATAGATTTTGCTCGTACGACCCTTGAATACGTCGTCCAATATTATGCAGACGTCAAATGGAAATGGCGTCCGTTAACAGGCTGCTAAATGACTCTAACGCTTGTCGCTCGCGCGCTTCGTACCTAAGTCAAGGATAGTGATCTGTCCTCGAATAATAATAAATCGTGTAAGGAACTCACCGTGAGTGAGATAATTATTTCACGAAGAAACTGCAAATTTCAGGTGACAAGTTCTTCACTCTCCTTAAAGAATATCATGCGAGTCCAAGATGACGATTTTTTTACATGTGAACTTTGACATCGAACAGATCCGTTCACAGGAACGGATGACACTGACAAATCGTACACCCTGGTGACTCCTGTACTACCAAAGTCCAGACTGTATCGTCTGTTTGTAGAAAATGCATATATTCGTCGATTGTAGCGCCTCCGGAAAGGTAGAATGTTGCAACCTTGACAATTTCCGAATGACTTTCGCCGCCAAGCGCACCCATCGTAATAATGAAATTAAGAAATCTAGACTAAATGTGGATATACCAGATCTCGGCCTTTGATTTATATCATTAAATTTATTATAAATATACTATATAAATTACTTGCATACTATGCCGTCTGTCTGTGTAATATTATTATATATCAGAATCTGAACGGTTGACGAAGGAGGTGAAACGGTACAAGATATGAACTTTACGTGTTTATTAGGATACCAAAGAATAAATCCTCGATAATCGAAATCCAGGAACTGTGCAGATACGAAAAGTGAATGATTATTAATCACAGTAAAAGTAAGGATGGAACCTTAGGAGAAAAAAAGGAAGATATCCTTGACGTCTAGAATGACCGCAATAGACGTGTCTTGTGTGCGTCGTTTTAATATTAAATTGGAGATCAATATCCATTAACATAATCAACCTGTAGACGTCATACCGTTTACAATTGACTTTTGTGCTTTATGGATATAATTATTCCTAACTATCAAGGAGACGCATGAATGGACCGAGATATGGTTTTTATGTTGCTATATAAATAAATTGATTTGTTATTGGATTTAAAAAAAGAGTCTGATACCAATAAATTAAATGAATTCGTTCACTAAAATTGCCGCCTCGTCAAATTTTCACTTGCTGACCCACATTTCCAGAAACTGCAGTTATTGCAATTTAATTGCATCGCGTGCATCCCAAAGCCCCAACGACTTGGTCAGTCGTGAAGTTAGTGTTCTCGAAAAGCAGCACCACAGAGTTCGGGAAAAATAATGTTGACAACAATATTTCTCAACAATGACCGTAAACATTTCCACGATAAAGAAAACCGACTATCCAGGCATAGTTATGCATGTGCATCGTCAGAGTGCATTTTGATCCTTGACGCTGCTGTTACAGATGCATCCCCACGTGATCCGCATAAATATCTATCAAGTATTCCAACAATACGTACAAGTAAGTTCAATGCGAATTTTTTCATACGTTTCTAACGTAATATGCTATGCGGCAGCTGCATAGTTCTTTGCTGCACTTTCAAAGATGCATTCAGTCTAATAACTATTCGATAAATTCAAATAATCAAAGATGCCCACCCGACATTGTCTTACGGCTTAAAATTAAATATTATATACAGTAAGTACTGCGCAAGAGAACATCGAATAAATCATTCTTGTCGTACCTTGCTATTTTACTAAAATCTCAAAAGATGTGGATACGAGATAGAATCCTTGATAAACAGTACGAGACATTACTAAGAAGACATGAGAAATATTCGCGTAAGCAATTGGATGACGATGACGTTCTCGAAAGCGGGAATAATCATCTATCGGTAATGAATATGTATTATTACATATTTTACGTTCGTCCACGAAGATTTTAGTACGTGATATAAAAAAAAAAAAAAATGATATCCTATCACCGTAATTGATAATTAACGGATCAAGAATAGCAATGCAAATCACACGGTCGCCTTAAACTATAGCATAATGGTCATAGGAAAAAAAAGGGAGACAGCGAAAAATTGATAAACAGAATTTACCTTTGCTTTGATTTTTGCGACAGCATACACAAGAATAGCAATGCAAATCACACGGTCGCCTTAAACTATAGCATAATGGTCATAGGAAAAAAAAGGGAGACAGCGAAAAATTGATAAACAGAATTTACCTTTGCTTTGATTTTTGCGACAGCATACAGATACATCTTCTGACGTCACAGAGCTACACGAGACGAGAAACCGGATTTACAACGTGAATAGCAACTTCTTCAAACTAAACTTCGCACCCAAGACTCTTTAACAAACGTGTGATCTTTGCTCGAAGATTCTATGGTCGCATCCTTGCAATGATTCTTTTTTGTGTCTGCACCATTTTCCATCTGTCCGACAGTTTGGTTTTAGTAATAATAATAACAGTCGAAATACTGTAGTTAATTATTGCAATAGCATTTACAAATAATTATAAAGAATGCAAAAATAATATTTCGGCAATGAAAAGACTTTGAAAAATTCCTACTGTCTTTTTCACGACACGACTGCAATTTTTATTTGCTTTCGCCACAAGAGTTCAAAGATGGCCGTTGTACTGCCTCGGGATCATCCTAAACGTTTGAACTGCTCGTTTTGTTAAACAGGTTTACGAATAGAAATACCGATAGTCACTTGCAGAAAGACTGCATCCTTGCGTATAGGTATATGATGACTTTGACCTTCTGTTATTGCGTGAAAGAGGGAATGGTTGAGTTAAATATGTTGTGTTAATAGATGAATTATTCGATTTTAATGAATCTAATGGGAAGTATCATTTTCACGCGTTTGCAATAATACTGCATACCCAACGTCTGGTTAAAGACGACATTGACACGATTCCAATCAGCGACAAGGTTAACCAGAGTCTATAAACCAGTTTCGTTATGTTATGTTTTAGTGGCAATGCGTGGACAACATTATGGAAATTCGATAAATTATGTTATTTGGGAATTATGAAAAATCAGAATATATCAAGACAATAGTCCTAGAAAAGTATCGGAAGTTTTAGTGACCTTTGGACATTTTTTTTTCTTCGCGTACTTATTCACATTTTTTTTTTGTATAATACAAAAAACCCTATAGAAAAACAGGTTATGTCTTTGGATTGACGGACATTATGTAATATAGTTACATTTTGAGTATTGTGAGTGTTTGTCATAATTTCGAAAACCGTTTTTTTTTAATTTGATAAAGGGAAAATTGAAGCTAATGGCACGGATTAAAACAGCACCTCGAGAATGACAGTTGCAGGATAGAGAAAACGATTGGTAGTCCTTGTTATTTATAAAGGAAATATAAATTTAAGGGAACTACTTTTCTGATCGAGCTATAATATTCCAAGATGGTTTAAGTTTTAATTAATACTTTATGTGCGTTCTGTGAATAAAACATAACAAACTGTTAATCCTCCAGTATTATGAGCGCAATCTATATAAAGAATCATTGATTAAATATTAATGCCGGCTGAGGATAAATAAATGGAGCAACTTACAGTTAGAGGCAAAATAGTGTCACATGAGCCTGCGTGTTGCGGACAGTCGCAAATCGAGTTACCGACTGAACGTTAAGCAGGTACCGAAAATGATGCCACCGGTAAGTGCTGCCATCCTGCGACTTATTTTTTAATTCCAGCTTGTACATACAGTTACCTATTCAAATATTACCATTGGTGCTCAAAGCAATTGCACCGCTGTCTTTGATTTACCAATCGAAAGGTGTATGACGGGTTGTAGACCATAGGTGTTCAGCCGAAATGATTGCGTCTCAGCCATAAACTTGTTGTTGCAATTCAACAAAATATCCTTGTACAAGAATAAAAAATATTAATTTTAATAATTCTAAAAACTTCAGAAAATCCTAATACCTCGTTATACAATGATCGAACAGCATACACAGCGAAAAGTATGAACGGTTGCTAAGATTCAGGCGCAGAGTAAATATTTCTCGTATTTAACTTTCTCAGAATAAACAGTTCAGCTACGTGCCTCCATTTACCCATATGGCAACCTTAAGGCCGTTATCCACGTGCATAATCTTGAGCACACTTTGCGCTTAGGCTTCGAAAGGAGAACCATGTCACTCCTTTTCTCCCTCCACTGTTGCGGAGCAACCAGCAGGAACACTTTTTCAATCTCAAACTAAAAGCAACAGTCGAATACACGATAGCGCGAGAGGTAGACGGAGAAACGGAGAAGCTTGGTATGGCCAAGCTTTAAACTCGTAAACGGTGCGATGGCACGTATCCTTGATACCATCCCGGGATTTATGGCTGATAGTCGATCGTTTGTAAACCGTCTTCGTCTTTCGTGAATCATGACGCACGTGCATTACCTATAACGAACTATAAAGACTAGGAATTTAATTGATACTTTAAGAATACCTGGACGACTATTTATTTCGAAGGGCAACGTAAACGAACAAGATTTTTTAAATATTAAACAGTGTCACTATTGAGTTTAAAACTAATTGATGAACCTTTAAAGAGACATTGTATGATTTAGTATGATTAATAATCAGGAGATCAACGTTTGATTTGAAACATAAAAAAATTAAAAATTTTGAATGAAAATTTCATTTTGAGCAGTTGATTTTTTCTCGGTATTGAGTGTTAACGTTGAGTGTTATCGAAGAAAGGATTACTCACGGTTGAGGAATCGTTCCCGTATTATTATTGGAAACAAAAGATTGTCTACTGTACGTCAATTTGGCATTGACGTTAAAATCGCTTGCGTGAGTGTTTGCGCATGCGCAAGCTGGCCCACAAAAATTCATTCGAAGTCTGTCATCGAATCGCAAAGAAAGGCACACGTTCCGGCTTGGAGGGAAAGTAAAAAGATCATTAACTACGGTGAGTCCCTTTCTACCTGAACTTATTTGGGGCTCCTTCGTATTATGTTACCGCGAAAGAAAGAAGAAAGAGAAGGAAAGGAGTTAAAAAAAATATTCAACTGTCTCGTAATAGATTACAGTCAAGCATAACACAGCAGGTAGACATCTAGCTACGTTCGTATACCCGGTGAAAGAATTACGTAAAATCAAAGTTATAGAAAAAAAGTTCGATGATCGAATTATACCCGCGGCTAAAAGCTATCGAGGATCTTAGCGCATAAGGTATAGACTAGAGTTTATATTATAGCAGGTGATAATAATAATTTTCTTGATATAAAAATTCATTAATTATTTTAACACATTTAGAATCCATCCTATTTATCCATCTTTTAGAGTCCGTGCATTTTATATTGGTAACTACAATAATTCTTGTCTAGTAGCTGCAAGCAAAAGCCAAGAAAAATAGATAGCTGTAGAAAGTAATGTAGCAGAGAAATTTACGTCGAGAGAGGATAGACTCTCGAAGCTGGCAGTATAGACACGGGAAAGATTCTAAAATATTGTCAACATTGACAATAGCGTGTAGACAGGTTTTTCATACTAACATTATAGGACTGTACCTATAATTATATTTGCTATTCAACCAATTTTAATATCCCAAGCAATTCTCTTGGGTGAAGAAAAATATTAAATATCTTCTCATAACAGTCATTGTGGACGCTCCTGAACACATGGAGACGTTACGTGTCTCGTGGAGCAAGTACAGAATTACAAATCCGCACGGACCCACATCATTGACAAATCTTCTTGAAATTTATTACTTCCTTAAAGTTACAAAGAATTTGGCCTTGCATAAAGATACTGAGCAACCAACATAAAAAATGACTGGAATCCACGTATAAAACAAAAGAGTCACTTTGCTCGTATCGCTTGGTTACTTTTCAAGTTGCTTAAATAGAATGACATCATCTAAATGGTTAAGCCATTAGTAGAATATGGATGTGCTATTGTGCCTGGCACGAGAAGAAGAATATGTAATATAGATATAAGAATATATATAATAAGAATTCTTTGAACTTTGTTTTTCATCCTGTGATATTCAAAGGACTAGTTCAAGATACTTAGTATTTAATTGACATGCTAATAAAACAGTCTTGCGCTGTCATTTGAGTAACTGGAGCGATTGAATCGATTTTCAGGTCGCATGTTTCCTGGCTGAATCAAGCCAAGTCCCATGTGACTTTTGAATAATAGACATTAATGGTCAGCTAGTATATGGACGGTGTATTAGTTTACCTAGGGTATACTGAAGTAGTCACATCAGTTCAGTCTAGAACAGTGAACAGGGTTAACGGAAACAGAGGAAGCAACAGTGTCGCGATGAAATTCCGTAAATCGAGTAAAATCGAAGGTATTTAATGGAATGATAAAGAAGATATTTTTCAAATTGGCATTATTAAAAAAAAAACTTTTTTAATCGTAATATACGTTTAAGTTACTTGGTGTGTCGCTCAAGCCGATTCGACTTAGCAATGCGTGGCTGCTTATCGCTGAACGAAAGAACCAGCAATTAGTTTCATGAGAAACTTGCGCTTTGTGTACGTGCATTTTCCAGTGTGAGATATATGTGGAACTATATGGAATTATACATTTTTTTAACTCTTCACCTTCCCACAATTCTTGCTCTGGCGGAAATCGCTATATCGAATTCACTTTAAAATCCCTGCTGATTTACTTAAGTATAGTTCACCATAGCGATTTAACGATTCGTTCGTGGGAAGTTAAGGAAATTGTGAGTTATGTCACTTATTTCATGGATCGGTGCTAAGTGTTTGGAGCTACAAGACGTAATACTTTCTGGAAAGTTTTGTCCTGGGTTTAACGTTTGCACTTCATTCTGAAGTTTTCCAGTTGAGCTTGTGAATCATGTAACGAAAAAAATATGACCATCTTTATAAAATTGGGCCTTAGACAATGTCAAAGAAAAAATTAAGGAAAAATCCATAATATTATATAGTTAAAAATAAAATCTCAATACTACTGACGAGTACGACTAAAATTGCACGTGCAATTTGATTTTATAATTTTTAAACACTACCTACTTATAGATTATTGAGTGAGACCAGAGACGTGAAAATGAAAAATTTTCAAATGCAAACTTTACAATGTAAATTAGTTTACATTCAATTCAGTTTCTCGTCTGTCACCCGCAAGAACTCTGGCTAGAGCCAGTGAACGGGACTGTACCTGGAGAACATTGACCTACAGTTACATTTTTTGTTGTACCTACAGCCGACCGTGTAACACAGTTTAGGCATAGATACGACTCCCTTTATAACGGTATAACTTAGCCATAGTCTTACTATGGTGGTATAGTTATGGTGAATCAAGTACAAAGCCTGTTTCTGTAATGGATGCAGTAGAATTCCTAAGGTGGTTTTGACCTATTTCTATTAGTAGTATCCACAAGTGGAAATGTAATTTCCATATAAAATTACCTACACGTTATTCATTCTTGTCGACGTGTTACATCAATTCCATAATAACGTTGCTGACGAACCATTAAGAGTGTCATAAAATGCAGCATTACAGATTAGCGTAATTAATTCTAATCATATTGTCGCAACAGTGTACAGTAAAAAACAATTAGTCCAATCTATTTTACGGTAAGACTAAACGATTAAATATTACGGAGTGTCTAGCCGTTCGGCAATAATTGTATATTATTCGTCCAGATATTTCATTATTTTTAAACAATGCAGTTAATTATATAATCGTGTGATACAGCCTGTCTTTAATTAGACTCTGAAAATGTCCCTGTGTCATGTATGTGTATAACTATATAATGAATCCGGATAGGATTCATTGCATGTCAAAAAACATCCAATAAAGTAGATAACATATATTAAAAAAGGAAAATCCATAAATTTGGCCAATCGCCGGACGACTAGATACAGCTTATATATTAATAACGAAATTTTTCCTCTTACGACTTCTTAATTCTACGAGTAGGTAATAGAACGTAATTAGTGACTATCGCGTGCTTAAAATTCAGACGAAATTCCAATACTACATTCCGGCATATTTTAATCGTTATTCCTCGCACGTGGATACGAGTAATACAGCGTTGATGTTTATAAACTAAGAAATGCGTATACGAAAACGAAGCCGATTACATTAATTTTTAGCAAATTACTGTATCGACATTTGGATTATTTCTATCGATCGCTTATTATTTCAATTTTACGCACGACTTTCGGCTGAAAGTCGTATATACCAAACTTTCTGCGCCTTTACATTCAATGGTTTCTATTTCTTTATCGATTAATACAATATTTATCACTGTACATGATAATCTGCAGCCATATTGTACAGAATCCCTCGATTCGCCTCGTCTTGCATTTTATACACGTCGTTCGACCTAGTCTCATTCTCGATCTATCTAACCGTTCAGTGTTAACACGCTTGAAATTCAAGGCAACGTAACTTTTTGGTACGACTGTATCTTAAACACGTGTTCAATGCACTTCGACATTAATCATGTATATATACAATTGTGTCAATTTGGTATAAATTTGAAAAACGAGTAAGCAGGTAATGAACGCAAAATGATGACTTGCTGTCACTGAATGTCTTTGGATACACAGTACATAACAGTGCTTGATACATCTGCAACATAAAGTGCCGCAATGGCAGTAGAATGCATACAGAAAGCATAAATCTTATCTTAAAGTCATAAGAGTTGCCGAGCATCGAATGTTTGTTTGCACGTGTCTTTCGCAGATAGAGAGATGGGGTTGACTTTAAACAAGGTTGAATTTTCAAAAAATGAGGGAATCCCAGCAATTTTGTATCGAAATGCGTGCATCGTGTTTCTAACTGCAAAGTCATTTGAATTAAAGTGAACGTGAGAGTCAACGAAGATTTTAAATAGTCTTGTACGTTAATTATAGAAAATTGATATAAATAGTTGTTACTGAGAAAAGGCAAATCTTGATGCTTACAGATCAACCAGAAGCAGAGAAAGATTCCGCGCTTCTTACAATGGCCGCAGACGATGCTATCGTCATTCGGAACGCTCGAAAAAGCTATGGGAAAGGAGTGCAAATTCTCGATGATTTGAATATGATCGTGAAACGTGGTTCGATGTAAGTAGAATTGTGTTCACCTTATGTAATCTTTACCTACGTTGCTATATTACGTCATGAAATTAATCTATCCAAATGGATATCCACTTAATGTACTAACAGCATCGCTATCGTAAACGTACGTGGACCCTCTTATTTCTCTATTTTCTTTTGTGTGATTCTCGGACTTTAGTTATGCGTGCGTTATGATATTTCTATAGTTAGGACACGAGAGCAAGTTTTTTGAAGTGGAAAGTGAAAGGATTCCTGGACACGTAGCGAGAGACATCGATTGCCAAATTATTTTTATATACATTTTGTATGGAGATATTACGAATTTGAATTATCATGGAAATTTCGTCAAACACTTTCCATATTTTAAGGCACTGCACGAGCTTGTAAGGTATCTTATTGCATATATAAAAAATGTAATCGATTGTCATAAATTTATTGAATTTTTTATATTCAAGTTAGATGGAGATTCTTATTGCGATAAAATTATTATACCATATCTTATGGGAAGGGAAACGAAATTTTATTGATTCGGCATAGTGCTGTTATCAGCGTGAGGATAAATATTTAATCCTCTAAAAGTACTTTGTCGACTGCATCTAATATGTGATCCATAACAAATTGATTTTGCTTGTTATTCTCTTTGGACTCTTTGGATCTTTCATTGTTAATCAGAAACGACGCATTCTGTTTGGTATTCGTTGTAGCCACTGTAGGACTTGGTGGTACTAGAAATTCATTGGTTATCGTTAAATTCTTGATAACGTTATTGGATATATCTTTTATGTGCATTGTAGTAGTGTTTTTCATATCCTCATTTTCGTCGGCAGTTCCATCGATCTTGGGCAATGATGAAAACGATGCATTTTTCCCATTACTATCCTTTATGTCTTCAGCCTTGGTAATTTTATTATTCGACGTCTCTGTTGTAACTTTGAAGACATTATTAGCATCCTCCGGAACATTCTTCGTAATGGCATTACCTTTACTGGTTTTGCTGTTATAAGTAACAGATACATTATTTGTATTGTTTTCGAGTTTCTTCAAGAATTTTGCATCGCCTTTACTATGGTTTCGGCGGTGGCTACTGTGCTCTTTACTTACTGAACTTTTATTTACTGTTGAATTATCAGCATGATTTTTTTTGTTCGATTGTTTCCTTGTCGAATTCCATAAGTGATCAAATCCAGAACGAACTGCTGTCTCATTGGTCACAATATCCTGCTTATACATACGATTTGTCGGCTCTTGATGTGCACTTTTGTCAAGCTCAACGTTCAACGTACCAGTAGTATCGTCACTTAATTGAGTATTGTATCTCTTAAAATCTTCATAATTCCTTCTAGCAGCCATTTCACTATATACAGGTGGATTTTCGGAAGGCTGGCTTCGTCTCCAGATGTCAAACAAATTTCGTAAATAATAACTCGAAATTAATAATGTCTTACGCCCATTCCGTAATTCGAAATCTTTTAATATTTCCCGATGAAGAATCCTCGTGTTAACATACAAATTTAATAATCCATCCTTAACATCCTCATGGTAATCAGCACCGTACCTTGTGCTATCCTCTTCGATGATATTTGAAAAATCCTCCAGGGTCTTTTTCTTCTTCTCCGGTAGTGTTTTGACTAAACTCAAAGCTTCTCTTATTAAATTATAAATTTCGCGAATTAATGTAATTTCGAACCTTCTGTGATCAGCTCTCCTGGCATTTTGAATTTGATCCGATTTTTCATCTTTTCCAAGTTTCCCATTGATCCTATTGTTGGATGCTGAATTATCAGGATGATTCTTTTTATTCGATTGTTTACTTGTCGAATTCCATAAGTGATCAAATCCAGAACGACCTGCTGTCTCATTGGCCACAATATCCTGCTTATGCATACGAGTAGTACCAGTAGTATCGTCACTTAATTGAGTATTGTATCTCTCAAAATCTTCATAATTCCTTCTAGCAGCCATTTCACTATATACAGGTATTAAATTATAAATTTCG